AAACTTTCACTCGAGCCTCAGAAGACCACAGCGACCGCACACTCCGACTAGAACAGGATGCCCGGGTTGGGTCTCCGACGTGTGGAGGAAGAACTGCTTCGAAATGCCAAAGGCAATTGCCTGTGGCAGGAAGAGGAGGCGCAAAGCCTCTCCCTCTCCCTCTCCCTCTCGCTCTCGCTCTCGCTCTCGCTCTCGCTCTCGCTCGCTCTCTCTCTCTCTCTCTCTCTCTCTCTCTCTCTCTCTCTCCTCTCTTGCGTTCCCTCTCACAATGCCGCCGTCACCTCCTCACTAACTACCATAGGAACTGTGGAGGCCTCAATGGTTTGGACAGGACTCGGTGTGAGTCGTTTCTTGAGCAAAGGAAGAATATCACAGCTTCCCCGACGTGTCTTCAGATTATCTCAATCCTAGATGAAACAGAGGACTGCAAGCCCCAAACTTAGTTTCTTGTTTTTTTTTCTCATCTTGGGCTTGGTGATAGCAAAACTCAGAAAAGTCCATGTCCCTTTAAAGCCAATGCGACCTCAAATGGGGCACTAAGCCCCAAAGTCCTCAATCCTGACCCTGCCTAGGGTTGAGGGGTTTCGGGTTTAGGGTTGACAGGCTTAGGATATTTTTGTTTTTGAAGGCCTTTTTGAGTCTGCACTGGTCGACTAGGCATCTCAGCCCGTATTGGGCAGGCATGTTTGCCAAAAAAACTCTGCTTCAGCCATTCGCCTTGTAGCGATGTGATCCCTGTCCGATTCTCGCTGTCATAGCCCTGGCTTAGTTGCTGAGTTCAGAAGCCCCAAAAACTGTGCACTTTCAGTTTTATCGGGGATAAACTTGTCCCAACAAGTGCAAATTGTATCCACTCATGGTGCTTAGGATGGCTTAGGGTTTCGGGTTTTGTGTTTGTTAGGGCTTCTCGAGGCTCCGAGCTGACCCCACGAGGAGCCTGGCGAAGCGGCTCGCCAGCTGGGGGTGCAGCCTCAGCAAATTGTGCTTAACTTGGGCCGTTTGCAACCTAGAATGGGGGTTTGAGGCCAGTCGGGGTTAGAGCGGGACTATCAGGAAATACTAGTAGAAATTATTCCGCCCGCTAGTTACATGAAACAAGGAAGGGGACTCGGGGGCTCAGGATTTAAGATTCAGCATCGGACGCCCTGGTCCGGAACCCTACATCGACTGAAATGTGGCGCGCTGGGGTTTGGGTGAAGTCGAGTCAGACCCCGTTGGAGAAAGCTGCATGTCGAACGTCAGCTCCTCTTCGGGTGGCTATGCGAAATGCTCGTAGGTGGCCGCTGCAGGGAGGGGGCTCGGAAACGAAACCTAGCATGCCCTGTCATGCTAGGATACCCAGTAACCTAAGAATAAAAAGGCCTCTCTTTTTGGTATTGGGTAACTTTATAAGGAGCCTAGGACTACAAAAAGGGAAACCCGTTGTGACTCAAAGCCTCCCATGGGGTCTTGTTTTAGCCGCTTCCTGTCAGGCGGGTCGGCTGCCGCGCTGGCAGCCGCGGCTGGCGACCGCTTGGCCCCGCCTGTCTGCTTCGGGGCTCGACTCTTTGGGATCGGCCTTACATTCTAGGCATTTCCAGCGCTGTTGTTGAATGTGATGTTAACAATTAGATGGGTCTTGGTTGGGGTAGCATAAAAATATGTGTGTATACATACATATGTATATACGTGTGTATATATATGTAGATATATACATATGTACATATATATATACACATGCTGATATGTGCACATATATATATATATATATAGAGATATGTGTATAGAATGTATGATTATGCAAGGATGCATGAGTTGAGCTGGCCTCCTTGCGGCCCGCCAGGCTCGCCACGTGCCGCACGCACGTGGCACAGGTGCAGAGTCTCCGGGACAAAGGAGAAGTACCCTGAGTGTCGAAGGAATGTTGTATACTGTAGTAATAGTGCTGCAGAATATTGCATGGTTTACAGGAAGTCGAACAATTAATACAACAAAGTATGCAACAGGAATTAACCTTATATGGCAAATAACCATATACATACATACATACATACATACACGTGCATACATATACATACGTATTCGCAACATTCACCATGCTTCGAGATGTAGACGGGGCTTCTATACTCCCATGCACAACACCTTGAACAAAGCCACCTCGACGGGAAGAAAGGCGGTCCGTGCCGGTAAGGTTGGGAGCGAGTTTTTTGTTCAAGAAGTCCTCTATTAAACAAGTCTTGTTCTTTAAGCCTTTCTCCCTAAACCGAAACACCAAACCCTAAACCCTAGACTCACGAACCTCTACAATTTGCCAAGGGACCTCCCAGAAGTCGTGGTCGCTGGGCCTCAACCACCTCGGGCTGCGAAGCTTTGTCAGGTTCTACCTGAACCCCAAAACCCTGCCTTTTTAGGGTTCCGTAATACGATTTCTTTACATAAGTCCTTAAGAAGGTCGGTTGTTTGGGGTGAAGGTAAAGGTTGCTTTTCGAGGCCCGTTGACCCATTTGTGAAGGCTTTTAAGGCCTCGGGTTTAGGGTATAGGGACCCTAACCCCTAAACCCTGAACCCGGGTTTAGGTTTATTCAAGGTTCTGGCCTTAGAGACTTCCGGGTCTCGCAAATTATGGGGCTTTCAAGCGTTTACAGACTTCGGAAGGTCTTTAGGGTGTTAGGTCAGGGTTTGAGGACTTTCTGGGTGTCTTCAGGGTAGCGTCTGGGCTGAGTGGTCGTGGTTTGTTTTGAGGTGGCAAGGCACCTCGGAAAATCACGCTTCACAGCTGATGTCTTCCGGGCTTGGTTAGGCTGAGTGCCGCACAAAGACCATGTAAACCGGGCCAGAAATAATGAAATAATGAACAAAGCTTGAACAACGACCTTCACTTCTGCATTGTCTCACAAATCTCAAGATTGCATAGCAAGAGTCGATCTCCGAGAAGCCAGCTGTTCGCCTGAGAGGCAGATTTTAGGTGCTGATGTGAACAAAATAGGCGTGTAAAGGGTTTAGGGCTGTTTAGGGTTTAGGTCTGCTATTTGCGTTTAAGCTGAACATGGACCGGACCTGACAGTAGAGCAAAACGGGTAACATGAGGGAGCCTACAAAAACGACCCCTGACTCACATGGGTAAGGATTCTTCTAGAGGTTCAGAGTTTAACCACAATCAGAGAACAGAGAATCGAAACTGCTCCCTGGAGGGTTATAGAGCTTCAGCAACTACGCTGCCAGGACTTTCTGCCGGGTGTGGATCCGGTGGGAATGTCAGGCAGGATGCGGCCCTACTTCAGAGGTTTTGAGCTGCTGCAGGTCCGGACATCAAACGGGAAAAGGAGGGACCCTTAATAGGGACCCCTACCCTATAATGGGCTATATAATGGGTATATAATAGCTATCTTAAGGGTCTATACCTAGGGGTCCTTATTAAGGGTCCCTCCTTTTACCCTTGGAGGACAGGTGCTCGAAGGCCGTAAAACTGTGCCGCAAGATCTTTGCATCCGAAGTCGCAAGAGTGTCAGGATCCTGTCCAATCCTGGACGTGGCTATGGCGGGAGAGATTTGGGGCTGATAGTTGGGCTGAGGTCTGTTACATGCAAGATGCTGACGTCAGGGAGCAGAGTCGTTACTAGGTCCCAAACTTTCCAACGAACCAATGCATATCCGTGTCTACTCGTCTATCGATTCTCAAGCAACCACCCGGGTTCCAGAATCACCCTTGCTCGCAGACCGTCTCCCATCTTCCTTGTAGCATTCACTCGGAACGCCAGCACGACTCCAGAAACCAAGCTCAGCCAGGGAGCGTCCGTCGAGATCGTGAACTTCCATAACAACCTGCCCAAGGTCTTGAGTATAGAGTTCTCTAGACTAGGGTTCCGTTTTAAATTTCAACAATGACGCGGTACTCTTCTAGTCTAAAACCCTATAAAAGCCAAGAAAGCAATGAGAACCAAGGGAAGGCTTTGTCTGAGAGTTCAGAGCTCCAAAGTCGGCGGTCTTTCGGCCAATCTGTGGCGCCGACGAAGAACGACAAAAATGTATCTTAATTGAGGTTTTAGGAGGATTTGATAGTGTCTGGGACGGATTTGAGAGGATTGTTCAACTGTCGACTGTCGAAGGACTCTATCTTATGTGTTTCAGAGGTTCTGCCTTAGCGCCTGAAGTTCGACAGCGCGCTGAGAAAGACTCGGCGTTGCCGCGTGGAATGGGGTTGCCAAACCCTGTAACTGTAGGGATCCCAGTCAAGTAAATAATGGGTTGCTTTTTACGTATCATAACTAAACCCGGATACCGGAGCCCTGGGGAAACTTGCAAGAATCCTGTCACTGCGAAGTGATATAGCCCCTCCGCCCGAAAAAACAAACAGGAACCCGAACATAGTCACACCCACCACAAGTTCCCGGATTGCCAGCAAAGCGGTGTGCCTAGTTGTATTGCAATATAACAATATACCTACCAAAAATTTCAGCAACAATGACATAAAGAAGGCAAGGACAGCAAAGGATACGACCAAACGAAGTTCGCTGAACCCAAGTCCCCCCCCCCCCCCCCCACCCAACCCCTTAACCCTAAACCCTAAACCCCAAACATCCCCAAACCCTAAACCCCCTCATGGAGCCGACGATGGACCTGGCGGATCCGCGGCCAATCCTCCTCCTGCAATCCAAGGAGGACGGCCTCCTCGCAGGATTCTGACGATGAGTTGCCCCTTCCCCTGCCACAAGAGAGACCAACCAGCAGAGAGAGAGAGAGAGAGAGAGAGAGAGAGAGAGAGAGAGAGAGAAAGAGAGAAAGAGAGAAAGAGAGAAAGAGAGAGCGAGATTGAGCGCTGGAAAGTGAGGAGGGAGAGAGAAGGAGAGGTAAGGTAACGCAAAAGAGGTCATCTTCACATTGTAGCATCCTAGTGGCTTGGGGGGAAGCCTCATCCCGACCTTCCTTGTCTCCTAAACCCTCGCAAAGTCTATGAATGCTTCACCGAACCACCAGGCGACGACCAGTTTCTACTGTAGCGCTTGCGGCTTGCCGTCCTCATCTCCCTCCACATCCACCTCCGGAGCAGCTGGGTAGTCTTCTTTTTCGTCGAGGGGCATGCAGGGAACGGACTATGATGTTGTTCCATGCTTCTCCATTCCTGAATGATGAGCCCCCAGAGTCTTAGAGCCAGTAGAAGCCCAACGGCCTACGGGCTACAACTCAACACCAAAAAATTAGGATGAACGAGACAAGAAAAACAAGGTGGAGCTCGAACCGAGGTGAGGTTAGGCTCTTGCTGCCCTGCTTCCAGCCTTCAAGAGGTCCACCATCGCTTTGCCGCCCCGCTTGTTTCGCAGCGGTTCCAGAAGGGAACTCAGGCGCAACACTCGGCCTAAGATCTTCGAAACCCAGGTTTAGCGTTTTAGGGTTCAGGGGTTTAGGGCCTGCTTAGGGTTTAGGGGTTTAGGGTTTAGGGGTTTGCGGGTTTAGGGTTCACTTCCACAAGACAGGTTCGGGGGTTTTATTCTATCAAGAAGTTCGGGTGGAGGAAGGCATAGTTCGCTCCTCTCAGGCGCTGATGACCTCAATTCTTTGGGGCTCCAAATAGCCCAAGGTAGGTACTATTCATAGATGTTAGACCCCAAAGTACGTACTATTTATGTACTTGGAGCCGAGGGATTCAGACCTCTCTCACTTCTGTGCTCCTTTTCACAGCTCTGGTGCAATTTGGAATACCTAACCCCTAAACCCTACCCGAGACGATTCTACAATAGTGCAAATAATCATATCCATTTAGGTAGTTGTCAAAATTATGGCCCCTTTTTGGTACCCTACATATGAGGTGCCGTATTATAATAGGGACCCAAAACGGGACCCTACTTTTGACAACCACCCATTTATAAAGCTCCCAGGTAGGGGCTGGCTAGTGCCCGGTACTCATCAGGCGCGCACGGGAAAATATGCTCTGATGCACGGGATTACTTGGAAGCCGTAAGGATCCTAAAGTATGTGTACTGGTCGACAAATATCTTACGCATGCATACTTGACATCTGCAACCAGGACAAAGATCCGAAATGGATGCCAGTGTGGTTGTTCACATTATCGTCCCTTCTGTCTTGGGATCCTTCCCAGAGACTCCGCGTAGACACAAACTAGAAGCCCTGCGTTGGAGTCCTCCTTGGCAAGCCCAGTGGCACTGAAAGCTCTCTGCCAGTGGCTCCTCGGAGTTGAATGAACATTCACAATTAGGGTGGATGCTTTAGGATTTAAGATGGTGTTAGCAGCAAGCTCATGCGCGGGGGTTTAGCATGGTATAGCGGTCTACACACGGGCTTCGGGCTGACTGACTCAAGGGATTTTCGGCCTTGACGGCTCCGGCTTGTTCTGCAAGGCCTGATATCACCTAAACCCTAAACTGCCCTAAACGATTGAAGGCTAGGCTAGGGTTTGCCGGCTTACAGCCGAAGGCTTCGACTCGGATTGGGCAAAGGATTGCGGGTTGGCACTTCGGGCCCACGGTGGGCCTTGGGGTGCAAGTGCTAGAGTTCATCTTCGAATCCTGTGCTCTGGACAAGCTGCAAATGTTTTCCGGATGGGGGGGAAGGGTTTTAGGGTTTAGGGCCTGTCTAGGATTTGGGGGGAGGCGGGGGGGGGGGGGGTTGTGCGGCTTAAGCCGGCAAACGCAGAGGGCAAATGCCTCCAAGTCTCCAGGTTCACGTCTGGTAGCAAGTGGGGCCTCAGACGAAGCAGGTTCAACTCCGAGCTGGGTTGAGCCTTTTGGGTCTTGGGGTTAGGGTTTTGGATTTCGGTATTTTGTGTTTATGGCTTAGGGTTTTGGGTTTGGCGTTAACTCTAGCAACCCACATTCGACCTCGCCCGTCTACTATTGACCTGCTAGGTCATGGCAGTTGTGGCAATCCGAGGCCCCCTAACCTAGCCTTGCCAAGGCTCCTTCAGGACAGGACAAGAACATGCAAGGCTTGGAGGCTTAGGGCGGCTATCTGGAGCAAGTCGGGCTGCACTCCAGCATGCTTAAATTTTGGCTCGCAGGTTACAATGTCAATGAAGCAAAGAGTAAAAGTACTGCCCGACGTACCGAAGCAGAAGAATCTGAACTCGCCCGCAAAGTCTAGATTCTAGGCCACGGAGCCCTGAACCCGAAACCCTGAAACAAACCGGAACCCCAAGCCCCATCCGCTCCCGAACCAAACATTGCCAAAGTGACGGAGTTGGGACCGGTGCCTTGCTGTGAGAGCAACAAATCACAGCATAAGCTCGAGCCATGCCATCTTGATGTTGTCAAGTTCGGGTTTAGGGTTCAGGGTTTAAGTTTAAGGTAATGCCATCATGCTCTGCTGTAGGGCTTTGGGGTGGTAAAGGTCGGGTTTAGGGCTTAGGATTCAGTGTTTGATCTCCGGGTATTGCTTTGGGTTTCAAGATTCGGCAACTTCACCGGCAGCAGCGCCGCACCAACACCACCACCACCACCACCAGCAGCAGCAGCAGCAGCAGCAGCAGCAGCGACACCAGCACTGGCTTCCCAAAGTCAGCAACAGAACCACCATATGTCGGGATGACCAGCAAAGCAGCAAAGCAACACCTACGGCAGGAAAAGATGTTAATCCGACGAACAGTAGACACCAATAAGACTTGGTGCAGTGATGATAGCTGATGGCAGCAGCGATAATGTGCCAATGCAATTCATAGTTTGGAAGCTGGGCTTTGGTAGGTTTTCATAGGCTTTTGTATTAGATTCGCATATTTTCTATTGCTATATGGTCATATCGTCTTGTCTTATAACATATCATATCATAATATTGATATGTGATGTCGTCATTACATGCCATATTCATGTCATACTCTGGTATGTTGTAGTCTATTGTGATCTTCGGGCCTCGGCGGCAGCAGCAGCGAGGCGAATCTGCTGCGCAGCAGCCTTGCAGCCAGGAGCTGCTTCGAAGGTTTAGGGTTTAGGGTTTTATTTCCCTCCAAACCCTAAACCCCAAACCCTAAATCTTGCCGGTCTTCGCCTCTTGCCGTCTTATCTCATCTACGAGCGGTGGCGACTGTTCTCTCTTTCTCTCTGACAGTTCAGCCTGCTTGGTAACTACGTCGCACGTGCCTATGGGATCATGCGGAGGACCGACAAATGCATCTTCCCTGGCCTGGCTAGCGGACGGCTATACCGTACTTTACCTCCGGACGGAGGACTTTGGTGGATGAGTCTAACCGCAAGGGGTTTTGCAAGTTGTTCAAGACCAACATGTGCGAGTACAACGAACTTTCGTCCTGCCGCAGTGTACCACCGAAAAATTGACGTCTACTCACATCTTGCCCGTTTTGCTCGATGTTGACATAAGTGGCTCCAATAGTCGTGCTGAGTTCGATGCCTCGAAAAACTCCCACTTGCTGGAAGGATGCGGCAGGCACAAGCAAATGAACCCAGAAAGTGCCCAGCATATGCCAGAATGAAGCTCGTAAGCAGTCTCGGATTTTGAATCGATCGGGGGACTGAGCGAGGGATATAGATCGTGACTCAACCTGCAGTTGGTGATCTTCAGTTGCACACGTTTTGCTCGAGCCCTCCAAAGGGCTAGAAGGCCTGTGCGCCCAAACCCCCTTGCGTTTCCACCTTGCATGTAGCTTGATTTGCAATCTGTATTCCCAAAGGGTCCAGGTACCATTATGGTATATACTTAGACTCTCAAAATACCCTATGAGTATATACCATAATGATACTTGGACCCTTGGGATTGTCCGCAGGATCATTGCCACCAGTCACGGTCCTAAAGCCGACGCCTCCTCGACGTTCCGCGTCGACTCCCCAGGCGCCCAGGGAAAGTAGCGGAAAGTGGAGGACTGCCAGGACTTATAGACCATGGATTCTGCGGGCTTTACCTATGACAATGCGGGTCCAGGGGCAGCCGCCCTGGGGAAAAGGATGACTTAGACCTTGTTGGGGCTTTGTGGCTCGGGGTTTATGGTGCAGGTTCTCCGTAGCACACTGACAGCAGCATAGATCGAAGAGACAAAGGGAGAAGGGAGACAGAGATGGAGAGACATGGATTTGGTAAAGATCGACCGATCGAGCGACAAATGGACAGATGGATTGATTGATTGATTGATTGGTTGATTGATTGATGGATCAATGCCTTGCGGTACTGTGTTTGTTGCAGCAGGCGAAGGCCGAGGGTTTAGTTATGTAAGTGCAAAACTTCGTGTTCAGGGTCCACAGTCTGCGGATGAGGACTCGATCTTCTCAGATCGGAACTGACACACGACGCCACTATCTGCGGTTGTGGCTCCAGCGAAATATTCATACCATAAACAACATGCTGGTGTCCATGACTGCAATGCTCTCTATCTCGGCGATCGAGATGTTTCAAAACTGGAAACACGTCTTGCATGGCCAAGGGCTTAGGCCACCCATTGAATGCCCTGAAGGCCTATGCGTCCGAATATATCACCCGTGATGATGAGAATATGGTTGGAGATACATCCTAGTATGAATATGTAGCGGCCCTTAGCACATACTGGTACAAATTATTCCGATCCCCCATAGCAACCCCCTAATAGTGAGCATACTGACATTGAAACCCTAAACACAAAAATCCCTTTCCCTAGAAGAGTATATACTAAGAGCCCACCTGGGATTCCTCGGATCCGAGCGCCGCAGCCACGACGGCAGCTCGCGTCGATCCTCCAACTTCCTGTCAGCGGCTTGGGGCACAGAGGGTCTACGGTCCAGGGCTTGGGGTTCAGGGATTACATCGGGTGTAGTGATTAGGGTTTAGGGTTGAGGGCTCAGGCACGAAAAGCATGCACTAGGGGTTCGGGGTCTTGTGGTCTTCGGTTTGGCTTCAGGGGTTTGGAATTTAGCTTCCGTGATGCCGGGGCTGCTTGAACCTGGAGAGCAGCATTCACTCACCATGGAGAGCATACCTGGGCCGTAAGGATTCTAACCTTTTAGCTTCCTCATCATGATATCCTTATATGCGCCCTGTGGGTTGTTAGAGGTCAAGAGCCTGATGGCCCGAAGACAAGTCTAAAGCTGTCACTACGGGCTGTTGTTGCCTTGACCAGCAGCTCAACAACGCTGTAGGCACAGTAGAGCTGGCGAATCCAGAGCGGTACTGCCGACGGGCTGTCATGCCGGAGTCAGAATTGGAAGGGCTGCGCCAGTGCCGATGCTTGTCACCTACAAAGGGGCCCCCATTGAGTGTCTATAGAAGCAGTTTTACATCTGCTCCCGGAACCCGGCAGCCAGGCCTTCAAGCTGCCCCTCAAGCGAGTCACCAGGGGCGGCAGAGGCTCCACACAAAGCCTGAACTGAAAGGTCAGGTGGGAATAGTCAGGCCTCTTTTTGAGGTCTACTGGCTAAAAACTTCCTAGAAGGTCCTGGAGGCTTAAGTGGGTGAAGTCGGACGTGCCGTCCCAAGGCTCTTGGATGTTGCAGTACGTACATGGCTTGGTGCTTCAGGGTATGAGCATCGACAAGAAACACACGTGGTTCTGTCCGCACCCCAGTTTGCTTTCTCGGGCGGGCTTCGCTGATGCTGCAGGTCTGCGATTGTTTTTCTTGCGAGACCTCGAGCCGAATCTGAAGCTGCATGCAAGATTCCCAAACCCGCACCAACACCAGGGCGAATGCCTTTTCATGGAAACATAGCAGCGGCCGATGCCCGTACCACGTTCCGACTGTAAGGTATCGGAATACAAGGAGCTTGAATCTGGAACGGTCAGCATCCAGCAAGCTACAAGAGATAATGACATTTGCAAGCCTGAAGCTGAGCAAGCTCCCCGGAGACTGCAAAATCCTTAAATTCAGGAATATACCTTCAACCATAATATAATTCGGAACCCGAATAAGATTTGAGGTGCATTCCTGAATTAGGGGATTTGAAGTCTCTGGCTCCTGAAACGTTCCCGCCAAGACAAGGCGCAAGTGACAGCGAGGCCATCGTTTCAAGGCCCAAGCTGCAAAAATGCCTCAGTGTTTTTGTCTAAGGGGATCTGTCCTTTTGTCAACGCCCCCACAAAAAAACTTAGGTCCCGAATCGCCAGATAAAGTCTAACATTGGAAAATCTTGTATACTATGGTCGAACCATATGATAAAACAGTGTAGTATAGTCAGTATGGTAGTATAGGATTGTACCACAACGCGACAGCATAAGATAGTAGTCTAAGATAGTGGTATAGGAGAGTAGTATCATGTGGTAAGGTCATGCCTCACCAAGGCGCCAACGTTGGCGCCAGCATCTACAATGAGGGCCTCCTCCGGGCAGTAAGTTCACCAATACACTGCTACCTATTGTGTACTGGCCGCACACAGCAGTCCAGATTTTAGGGATCGTATTACGGGCTGTATGACGAATGATATCTAACTGCTACGGAGTGGGCCCAGTGCCCAACCAATACGCTCCTCTCTGCCACATTGAAACCAAGCAAAAATTTGTGTGTGTGTGTGCAGAGAAAGAGACCGAGCGAGAGAGAGAGAGAGAGAGAGAGAGCGAGAGAGATAGAGATAGATAAGGTGTATATATATATATATATATATATATATTGTGTTTGTATATATATATATATATATGTACTTATCTGTGTATATATTTATATATATATGTACATATTTATAATATATGTATATATATATATATATATATACCTGTGCACACACACTGTCGCTTGCTCACCGGCACCAGGTCGTCGGGCTTGAGAGGTTGTAATTGAGTAGCTGTATGACTGCGTGGTGTTTGACGTGTTCGGGCTCTGAATAATTGGAAACTTGACATTGTTCCCCTTTGTGCTGCCGCTGGCCGTGCCGGGCAACTTGCACTTGTCCCTCATGCAACCGCCAACGTGGCGCAGCTCATTAGTAGCATCATCAGGCACATGACCACGGTTTCGAGGCCGGCACGAACCCGAAGCCTTAAACCTGTAATTCGTAGCTTTACACCACAAACCCTAAAGCCTAAACCGTATCCGTTACCCTTCCCCAACCTCAACCCGACTAAGCTAGCGATATGGTATGGAGCTCGCTTTGCTGAGTCCTGAGACCTAAATTGTATAAAGTCTAAAGCCATCCCTACAAGCTCTGAAACCCCCCTACGCCTTGAAACACCACAGCCTGAATTCTAAAGCCCTGGAACTGGAACCTACCTTCTCCCCCCTTCCCAAACCCTAAACCGTAAAACCCTAAACCCTATAAACCCTGAACCGAATGTGAATAGAGAGCACGTCGGAGGAGTCGGCCGCCTTCTCTCCCAAGTCGTGCAGCGGCTCGTAGCAGCCACCGACATGGATCTCGTGGTGTAGAAACTCCTCCTCCTGCCAAGGTACTGATTACGAAACATCCTTGCTTGCGCTTTGGAGTTGGGTGGGTGTTTGGATTGACGCTGCTTTTTCGGTTTGTGTAGTGCTGTGGGTTGAAGTCTGAAGCCGATCTTGAACATGATGCAAGATGAAATCTTGATAATTCCCGACGACACCGCGCAACGAACACGCATGGACAATACAAGTGACGGGAGCAGGTTCAATAGTTGGCAACTCTGAACAACTTCAGACTGAGAATTTAGGGATTTATCATAGGGGCCCTTTGGGGAAAATGGGGAGGGGGGGGGGCAGGGGGCCTTCATGCCCATGATAAGGACCTAGTAAGGCCTATTTTAGCAAGAAGAAGTCCCCTACCCCCCTCCCCCTACCTCCCTAAGGGTCCCTATGAGTTTAAGGTTTAGGGGCGGGCGAAACCCCCCAAAGCTCGAAGGCATAGCAACGAAACCTCCGACTTCCCGAAGTCTCCTGCACTGGGGGGCCCTTTAAGGCCCTTCAACAAAGTCGTAACTAAGATCCTCTAAAGCCCCAAAAAGGAAAACGTAAAATGGCCCAAAGGCCTACCTAGTGCACGAGCTTCATTTTAAAACCCTTGAAAAATATTCGCAACTAAAATCCTCTGAAGCCCTCCAAACTGTCTGGTTCTTAGTAAGGAATGGGGGAATGGGTTATAGGGACTACTATAAGGGACCCTTCAGGGACTATTCCCCCATTCCCGACTAAGAACCAGACAGAAGAGGGAACATGTAAAAGAGCGGGTTTTAACAACCCTCTTCCACAAGAGGTTTTTTAAAAATCATGTTTGGGCCCCTGCAATGGTCCAAGGGCCGCTGTACGACCTTCAGTCGAACCTCGAGCCTTTCCGTCCGCAGCCCAAATCTTACGTCTTTTGGGGGGGGGGGAGGCGGGGGAGGGTGGGGCGGTGGGGGGTTAGGGTTGTTTGGGGTTCGGAATTTAGGGTTTAGGGTTGTTTAGGGTTTATAGTGTTGTTTAGGGCGTTTAGGGTTTACAGTCAGCTCCAAAAGCGGATCAAAAGACCATGAAGCCCCGAAGCTGGGCAGGTGGGGTGTTTCAAGAGAAGCCGGCCCGGGCTGTGGATAGAGTTAGGCACTTGGAGGCCCAGGGGACTTAGTAAGCCGGTTATAAGTAGGGTTATAGTTGGTGCGTGGGGATTTGATCCTGGTAATGTTCTCTGTCGCTCACCCCACAAAGAGCTGTATTGACTGTTGGCGTGGTTGCCTTCTACAGACTGGATCACCGTTACTTCCACTTCCACACGCGCACTCCTATGCAGGCAGATCCAACGTTCGCTCGTTTTGCACGCTCACGGCCGGCGGTGGATCGTCTGTGCACGGGATAGCTCTGTCCACTCGGAGAATCACAGAAGATTATAGCACTTTAGCTATGGGCAATGCTTTCTAAAGCTTGTGCTCATTCTTGAGCCAAAATGTTGCATGGGCGGTCATACTGAAAGGATGGATAGGCATTGCGGTGTGCGTAGCACTTCCACAAGCCTAATCCTAGAGACGAGGGACGCGTGGCGTGCCCCCTTCCCTTGCACTTTACACGGTCTTGCTCACAGCTCTTATAGTGACACCTTAGAACTTGACAAGGCATCGCAGTCCGTTCGCACCCCCCATGAGTTGCGTCTCCGACGCTGCTCACTCGGAAGATGGCACGATAGGAATATCAGAAAATTTGTTCCGCCGCAACTTTGACGTATAGATCAGAGCTTTTGCATCCCAATTAGAAGCGTTGTGACACTCATCTACGTCGGTAACGATCCCCTGAAATGGCAAACGAATCAGGCGTCACCGAAGAAAGGAGCATTCGCGATGGAATTCCACGTGCGAAGCACAGAGGTCACAATCTCGAAGATGAGGTAGATCATATGTTGTTTTCACCGCCATCTTCGCGTTGACGTAGGATCGCGTTCCCAGGGCCGGAGGTTCTCCTCTGGGTACTGGTTCCTCTGCTTTCCTTTGTCCTTGCCTTTGTTTCGGCCTTTGCCGGCGATGTAGTCATGGTAAGAGTTGGCGTTCCAGCCTCCATGTTGATCATCTCCGGTTCTCTCACGCCCTTTTGAAGGTCCCTTTGCCGAGGAAGCGCTCGCACGTTCCTCCGTAGTGACGGGCGTGTCCATGATGGAAGTACCACCCGGAGGGAGATACTCTTCGGCCGAAATGTGATGTAATGCTTCAGGACGTCGAGTATTCGGATTTTGCTGTCTTTCAACTCTAGACTTGACCAATCTGTCCATGAAGTGCGCTGGCATTTGCACGTTGTGGTCCACCAGCAGTCCAACGGTCTGGACGGAATAATCTGCATGAGTCAAGAGGATGCCGACCGGGTCGATGTACAGAAAGTCCACTGGTCCAGTTGGCGTGTTTCGTAGTACCGAAAATTGTTGATGTCCTGTCACCATCGGGATAACTTCACATAGGACGTTGAGGCAACAAAAGTGCATTGCCTTCACGTCTTCATCCTTGTTACTCTTCAAGTACGTGGTTGGATTGAAGTTATCTCTGCCGATTCCCATCATGTTGGCTCCCCGTGTCAATAGCGAAAGCATCTGGTTCGTCCGGAAGCGCTTCAAAGTGTAAGTCCCGTTGGGATCATACGACTTGAGGTTTTCAGGCTCCTTAGCAAAGCGAAGGATCTCCTCATCAGTCACGTCCCTGCTCACACCTGTTTCTTTATCCACTCCAGCCAAAGTTCCCCACTTTCCGAGCACATCATAGCGTTGGCCATGTGCGAAATTCTCTCTCATCTGAAACAACGGCATAGTCGCCCATTTCGCGAATCCTGACCAAGCTTTGTAGATGGTTCTGCATACAACGAATGCCATGTACGAAAGAGCGGCCATGTTGGCGTCGATGCAATGGGCGTTCCGTTTGCCGTGGTAGTAGGGCGGCTGCATGGCGGTGCGGGCGATCTGCAGTTCAGGGTCGATGTTCAAAGACTGACCGGCAATGAGGACGGGACGTCGTTCCTGTGCCACCGCATCTGGTACTTGGTCGTCAAAGTCCTCTCCTGGTTCCGTGTCCATTTCTTCATCAGGTTCCTGTTCTGGATCGTCATCACCAACGACGGATGGTTCTGGAATTCCTTCGGGTTCCGCAACCGATTCCGCTTCCATGGCTTCCTGTTCCTCGACGGTTGCCTCAGGTACTGCTGCTGCCGCAGCTTCCATCGTCTGAGCAATGAAGTCACTTGGGATCTCCGTTGGAGTATCCCGTTGTGGAGTACCTTGGTAGTATCCGCAAGAAACGAATTGCGACCAGCAGGATGTGCATCGAGAAAAGCATGCCGGAACAATGTTGTAGCACGCTGGGCATACCCTCATTCTCCTGCCGTCCTCATCTCTTCGTAGATCTTCGGGTCGCCAGTTCTTGATGACAAACTTGATGCCCTTGTCCATGTAGTGATGCCGAACCGTGTTCTCCCTGTGGGCCTCCAAAACAGTGGTAAGGTCTCGCATTATCTGCTCCTTGCTTGTGTCATGGGGTCCAGGAGGCATCTCGCAAAGCAATTCGATATCTCTCGAATTCAGGAAGCAATGGAGATCCATTGTAGTCCAACACCATCTCTTTCTCCAATCGCTCATCATATATAGATCTTTTCCACCAGAGCGAAAGAATGTGTATCCTGAGGATTC